TAGTGATCCCATATATCTCTGCAGAGTTATGGTAATAGGTATTGCTCACCACAGCTCTAAGTGACAGCAATTTATTTATTTATTCTTTTGCAAAAGTTACCATCACATGACTGGCCAACTAAAAGCAAAACAACCTTGATGGCAAGGTATGAGATATTCCGGATTAAGTAGAAGATTAGGAAAATACTTACTTTTGCTTTCACCCCTCTGATTCCTATTTCCATGGAAACAGGGCTGGAAAGTACCAGCAGGCAGCCTGCAGCTGAACATCTGAATGAGAGCACTTGTGTTGAACTCAGCAAGCAGGCAGCAGGTGAAATCTGCAGGAGCTGCCTGAAAATCTATAGCCAGGTTTTCAAAGTAAAAGGATGACCTCAAGTTGGGCAAAGGACTTCTAAGAGGGATTACATATATCCTTAGCAAATATTCTCATTGCATTGCATTGCAAGAGTTGATAATCTGATTTCATCTTGTGAAAAAGGCAGGGATAACACTTCTTTATCTAAACCACACCAGACAAAAATCCATCACAATTAAACATATTTTGAAATGCTCAGGTAGAAGATGACATATTAGCAAGAATGATAGCATATTTTTGTAGCAGAATTGCCAGACTGTCAGACACTGTTCTGTAATTCCATCTGTGAAATCAAACTGGCCGATGCCCAGTCCATATAGATGCATTCTATATTTACATATTAAAAATAAAAAATAAAAAATAAAAATAAAAAAACAAACAACTCTAGAGGTTAGTAATACATTTGCTAGTTATGAGTCATATAAATCACCAGAACTTGCCTTTTAAAATCTAAGGCATTCCAGTTGTAAGCATCATTAAGGAAAAATAAAAAATAAAAACCAATGTTAACTTCCTTATGCAATTTAGTAAAGTTTCATGCAGTAATTCTTTTTAATACCATCTTAGATTTTTCTCCTGTTCCATATTTGCTCTTCAAGTAACAGAAAGAAAAGCAAACAAAGAAGGATGAAACACTGCTGTCTTGCACTATACTTTACCCAAACAACAGATTGGTTATTATTAAACTCCTGCTTTTGTATCTAAAGCAATTACCAGTTTCTCAAACAGATATTATTCATTCTTTGCGGAGAACAGAACACTGGTCCCACTTTGTGTCAGTGTAATTTCAGCCAATGCGATGGACAAAACAAAATGATTATAATAAAAGATGTAATGTCTTGCACAAGTTCAATATCAGCGCACAAGAGCTGACCTGAAAATGGATGATGAAGAAACTTGAGACAGTATAAATCTCCTTTTTTTTTTTTTTTAATTTAAGAGTGTTATTTAAAGTTTAACAGAGCTATTTATCAGAATCAAGTCAGCCTGATAGGTGTGTGGATCTGCTTTATTGCACCTATGTTCTCTTTCACCATCAGAGAGGAAATGCAAGCTTAAAGCATCACAGAACAAATCAACGCCAGAAGCTGTTAGTGACTATTGATTCATTGCTTTCTCTGGGATCTTCACTGCAAAACCGAGCCCAAATTTAGAGTCCACAATATATTAAGTTCACAGCTTTGATGGAAAAGAACAGTACAGAAGCTTCTTGTGCAATTTTCTTTCATCATAGGAAACTAATAATTGTGTATCAAAAGCATAACTGTGGCAGACAATGCACACACCCATCAGCATCTCTGCAGAATGAGAATGTCCACTTAGCAGCTGCAGCAATGGCAAAAATTGCACAGAGCAATTCTGCTAATGAGTCCACCTGATTACTCACCTGCTATTCTATACCATGTATACTTGTACTCACCTCAAGGATCATTTTTACAGTGCTAGATCAAGGAGAAATCAAACTCCAAACTCACTGATCTAGCCTGAGTCTGCTTAAACATGGCATACAGAAAAGCAAAAGCTTTCACACTCATTTCCACTTATTCTTTGTGTGAAAACATCTATTGCTAAACAGCCCACATGTATTGCCTGAAGAACTCTTCTTCAAGAAGGACTAGAAATAAAAAGTAAAACTAAAAGCACAAACTTAAAAATCCACATCAGCAAACACTGACTAAATTCTCCATTTCATAGAAGTTCTATACCTCACTTTTTATATGTTTGATTGTTTTTGTTGATTTGTTTATTTTGGAATGCTAAGAATATTTTGTACTTAAAGGCTACCTCTCTATTGCTATTTCACAGGTATGATGTGTAACATTCTCACGGTCTGAACAGCTCTCTAAGCCATCACTACAACTGCAAACCTTACTAAGGGGGGAGGGAGGAAGGGAAGAGCATCTTTAGCATCTATTTCAGATTTATAGAAATGATCATGCAGTTATAAGAGAGATCTCTGACTTGGCTGAAGAGTTTCAGTAGGCAGGGGATGGAAACATTTATAAAGAGAATTAAATATATCTGGCTGCATACATGCACAAAGGTTGTTGGGTATACATCAAAAAGGGTGGCTTGTCTTTCCCAGCTGGAGCTTGAAATAGAGAGGGATATAATTCAAGGAAATGAGGAAGCTGCTTCACACCCAGTCATTAGTATCTTCACACTATTTTTCCTTATGATCTTGTTAGTAACACCTGTACAGAGCATGTAACTGCTTTCTTCCAATTAACTTTATATCTGCTAATGTACCCCAGTTGTTGCTGGCTCATTAACTTATGGGAGATGGAAAGAAACCAAGAAGGGATATCAGTATAGTCTTCAGGATGCTTAGGGCAATCAAGAAAGATGTACAGAATGAAGGTGTCTGATCTGGGATCTTTTGCCTCTTGGGGCATGGAGAATGTGGCAAATACAAGTTCTGGATTCCAGCTAACGTGATAATAAACATACATTACACCAGTGTATGCTATATACGTTTTTAACTTAGTAATGAAAATATGATTAAAAGAAAGCCGATATAAATTAACACTTCAGAAATCAAACATCATTATCTATTAGAAAACCTTAATGCAAGCAATCTAAACCAGAGATTTTGTAGCTACTTTACCTGTTTGTAAAGCTAAACCTTCTTCCATGTTTGAAACACCTAAACTTGTTAAATACCATGTCTTCTTCCAAAACAGTATTGCTACATAGCAGCTGAATTAGTTTTATACCTTCCTTTTTGGAAGGTTCTGCAACAAATGTTTTCATAGCAAAGTTGTTAGAACCAAAAATAAAAGTTTGCAGTGGATGTATTAACACACAGTCACAAGGGGAATGTGATCCATGGTCCCATGTACTTTCTTTATGTGTACAGCTCCAGTTTACAAACATGGAGTACTGACACTGCGAGAGTAAGTGTTGGCACTTCAGCAGTGCAGGAAGAGTCACCGAGGCATGAAATTTTCCAAGGTATGAGTTATCCAAGGTATTAAAAGGTATTCCCAAGACTCAAGGCTGAGTAAACTGGGAACAGCAGCTAGGTGAGCATGAGTGATCCCTCATCACTGGCTTCATACATTCCCAAGGGCTCTCTACCTTCTCTGCAGTGTAGCTCGCCAGTAGCTTCTGTGCTAAGACTGGGAAAGAGCTCTTCAAGTCCTAGTCTAAGATTCCTAAGCTGGCCTCTTAACTGTTGAGTGGATGTGAACAAGTGGAAAAACTACTAATGCCTCTGCCTTTTAGCCATCCCACTTCCCACAATATTAGAGTAGCTCCCCAGAGGTTTTAGAGGTCTCAGTTTAATCTTCCTCTCCTACTATCATATTCCACTTTGCATCTTTTGCTCTTTATTTGATTAGGCACAACACCCAAGTCTGTACACTTCTAAATTCTTCCAAACACTAGCAACTGAACACAGATAGAGACCCAAAGATTGCAATCAGGCCATTTCTCCTGCCTCAATTAATGAGAACAGAGTTGTACAAGATTATATATGATGTAAATGTCTCAATTCAAACAGTACACTCCAAATTTACACAAATTTAATGATTGCCATCTTAATGTGCATTTATGGATTCCAACATAATCAAACAAGAAGATGGTTCATCTATGTTTAATCAACTCCATCAACCAAATTCAGCTTCCCAGCAATGTAAATGCACTCCTGTGAAGTGGTTGCAAGCTACTGCTGCCTCCATCAAATATAGACATGTAAAAGATGGGGATAGGAAGAAGCAAAGAAAGGACAGACAACTTTACTTATTTACTGTGGGCTACACAAGAAAAATTGAATGGTGTGGGATTCAAACTGTGCATTTCCTTTCAGAGCTGAAGAGAATGAGTGCTCCTGCAGAGTGGAAAGTCACAGCTCCATCCTTAAGGGCTCCTGGGGAGCACAGCTCTTCTTACTGAACACAGACTGACAAAGCCTACTACCACAAAATCCTGGAGAGCGAGCCTGCAGATGACACAATGGCCATCTCTTCACCTCAGTTTACCATTTCTTTGTGTTGGGATCCAGAAACTGCATCTGAAACCTGCTAGAAATTCAGTTATTCCTCTTGTCTACCCTGAACTTTTCTTCTGCTGCTTTCTGCCAAGGATTTAAACACCATAAACGGAGGAAACAGAGAAAGTGGAACACAGCAATGTTTTACTTTGCACCTGTTGGCAACTCCCAACTATACAGTAGGTAAGCATAAAAATACTTTAGCAGTCACACAGAAGCAATAGAAGTGACATCTGTTTTCATACCTAAGTGTGCCTGTGTTGTCTTATATTCTAACCGTGCTACACATACAACTTACTGCTTAACACCTTTGTGAATCAAGAGAACCAGATTTCAGATTCCAGTATTAAAGCTCTTAACAGAATGGTAATTTTATAATTAACAATAGACAACTCATAAATTCACAGAAATACCTTTGTAAGTGAGACCTGATGGCAATCTCTAAAAAAGCAATAGCTCCAGAAAGCTAACAGAAAACAAAATCTTCAAACGAAGCCAGATCATTTAAACAAAGAATCCAAGCCATCACTCCCTAGAGTAGACTTTGGTGACCGTAGGTAGCAAACAAGACTTCTCCACATTGTCCAATGTGTCTTTGTATTTCTCCAAACCATAATCCAATATAAAGTCATTAAGAAAGAAATTTACCTGTGTTCCGGTCAGGTAAAATACAGCAATGCTTCTGCAGTATGCCAGGCAGAACCTGTGGCAACAAAGAAACAGACATTAACATATGTATATTTTTAACATTGCCTGAAGAAGAGCTAGTGATTGTTGGAGTGCATACATAATTGAGCTTTGTGCTTTCATTCTGGATGCAAATTAACTATTGCACAGTGCGACTCTGAGCCCCGCTCACTAGGAATCACACACGGAGAAGAATCTTGTACGGTAAGCTGCTTCCTACTGCCCTTAAAGGTAGTGTCACCCTCTTCCATAGACCGCAATATTGAAAAATTGAGTAAAATAGTATAAATACAGAAGTAAATGTGCTCAACTTAGAAAGACAACACGTTATCAGCCAGTGCCACTCCTCTTCTTGATTTTGCACTGATTTTACACTGATTTTAGCCCCTGGGGCTAGGAGATCACTTCTCAGATGCCTATTTCCAGTAAGTAAAAGAAAACCCTTGAAGCTTGGATAGAAAGCTCAAGGGAATGGAGACAGACAAGTAGTTCATCATGATCACTATGCTGAGGTGCCTATGAGAAAGGCTACAGGAGCTTTCCACCACCACAGGCCCTTTCTTCTGGGTGGGGCAGCCCCATCCCTCTTACAGATGTACACACTGCTGTCATCTGTTGTGGTGCAGCTTTGATGCTCCTTCCAGCAGCAACCTGTGCTTGAAGCATGCAAGACCTAATTTCAATCTGACTTTTAAATCTGTAATTAACACCTTCTACAATGTTAACAGCATCTGTAAAACTGTAGCTTAAAACTTAATGGCTTTTCCTTTGCTACTTCAGAGAAAAATCCAATTAAAAGCTATGCTCTAAGACGTCCTCTACTAATTTTCCCTGAAGGGTCAGCATGTGCCCTTTTAAGTCTGAAAATCTCAAAAGAAAAATTAGTTTGTACAAACAGGAGACCAACATAACCTCAGTGTCGAAATGCTGGCCCTCTAACCAGTGAGAACACCTTGGGCACCGTCACAGCTCATATTAAGTTTCAGAAATCCAGGAAGGAAAGTACTTTGTGGCCTAGCAATATTTTTTATTCAATATGAAGACTGCTGTTGCTGTTTGGTCGAGTTTAGCAGTTAGGGATGAGAGTCAGAAACATGGAGCCCTGCAACAGCACCGTAAGCCTCAGCCTTCCCTGTGGTCGGTACCCAATGCACGCTGTGGTAAACCTCCATGAAACCAGCACCTCTGCTCAGCCATCCTCCAGCACAGCAAATTAAGGTCTTAAGAAATTTGCTGCACTGAGCTTACTCTCAAAAGCATGCATGCAGACACAGTGCCATTGCAAAGCTGAGCTTTTACTGCCATTTTAACTTGAAGAGCCAGTCTGCGCACAGAAAGCTGTGCTGGACACAAAGCCACAGGAAATAGAGTTTCCCCACACAGCTCCTTGAAACTCTACAGCAGACAAAGCATTTAAACATGAAGTGTTGCATAAATCATTCTGGTCATTTTCTGAAGTGAACAGCACCACTGAAGCTGTGTTCTGCAGTGGAGGGGGAGATTACTCTGTGAGAGGCAGCTCAAACACCCAGGAGAAGCCAGGGAGAGAGAGGTGCCTGGAGCCACCTGTCTTCACTTTATTCCAGCAGCACATGCAGGGAGGGCACAAGGCAGACCACTTTCTTCTCACCAGTGAACACAAGAATGCAGCATTCTACTCAAACAAGCACAGTGACCACCTGCTGCAATAGCCAAGCTGTGGCAAAACCCAGATGGAGGGGGCCACCCCTTTTCTGGGCTGACACATGCACCCAGATGGACTTCCTGAGGAGCGACACATCTCCCCAGAGCTTCAGTTGTGGGAAAAACTGAAATCTGGAAGTCCCTCAAGGGCCTGAGGGAAGAAGCCCCAGAAGTCCCTGCCAACCTCAGCCACTCAGTGATTCTGTGACAGGTTTACTGCTGTCTACTTCTGAAAAGCTTATCCTTCACTCTGCTGCAACTCCATTTAAACAGGTCCCACAGTTAATGCCCTCAGAGCCAAAGCCCAGTCCATGCCTCTGAGTACAGGACTGCAGAAGAAGACTCACATCTTGCTGTCTCTGTGAGGCAAGAGATAGTTGTCTTAGCTGTGCATGCATGTATTGCTGGTACAATTGAATTTCCGCATGTTCATAACAGCTAAAGACCACTCGTTGTCATCTCTTTTGGTACTCAGAAGACCTGTCAGCAAGTACATTGCTTTCCCAAGTAGAAATCCTTTTCACTTGAAGCAATCATAAACCATCCTTCCTTCAAGTACAGCTATGGAAAGATACCTTGGTGTGCTGATGAACAGCTGGCTGAATATGAGCCAGCAGTGTGCCCAGGTGGCCAAGATGTCCAATGGCATCCTGGCTTGTATCAGGAATGGTGTGGTGAGCAGGACTAGGGAAGTCATCCTGCTCATGTACTCAGCACTGGTGAGACCCAACCTCGAGTGCTGTGTTCAGTTTTGGGCACCTCAGTACAGAAAGGACACTGAGGTGCTGGAGCAGATCCAAAGAAGGGCAACAAGTCTTGAGGGGCTTGGAGAATATGCCCTATGAGGAGAGACAGAAGGAACTGGGGCTGTTCAGTCTGGAGAAAGGGAGATGGAGGGGAGACTTCATTACTCCCTTCCAATATCTGAAAGGTGCTTACATCAAGAGTGGGGTTGGTCTCTTCTCACTGGTGACAGGTGACAGGACGAGAGGAAATGGCCTCAAGTTGTGCCAAGGTAAGTTTAGGTTGGATATCAGGAAACATTTCTTTACAGAAAGGGTTGTTAAGCACTGGAATAGGCTCCACAGGGAGGTGGTTGAGTCACCATCCCTGGATGTGTTTAAAAACCATTTGGATGTGGTGCTCAGAGACATGATTTAGCAGAGGGTTGTTAATTAGGGTAGTATGGTTAGGTTGTGGTTGGACTCCATGATCTTTAAGGTCTTTTCCAACCTGAGAAATTTTATGATCCTGTGATTCTATGATTCTATGATTCTACTTAGGGGAATACAGTATGACTTGAACCAATGTATTAGCTTCCCTTACTCACATTCAGACAGCAGGAAGCATGTATTTTAAGAAGAAACAATAACATTAAAACAAAAATTGTGAAAACGGCATTCATCATTTGCTAGTGTTTTTTTGAATTTTAAAAAGAAAAAATCCAGTGGTACTTAGGAGTGTATCGTAATACTTCCAAACTATAGCATTTTCATTTTGGCCATGGATATAAATAACAGCATAGTCTTATAGGCACTGAAAGCACAAAAATTAGAAGCAGAGAACAAAGAAATCCTAGAATGAGCAGAGACAAAGCAGTGTAACACAAAGACTGAATCTTGAAAACACCGTGTCTTACTCAGACATAAAATAGCACTTAGTTTCCAGTGAATCTGCCACATTTTCTTCCCCACATTCATGAACCATGGAGCAGCATTATGAATTTATTATGAGCACCAGTTAATCAAATTAAGGCTGAATCTGAAAGAAGACACACACACAAAAAAAAAGCAGGTCTGGAGTAGCGAGACAATTTCCTTGGGAAAACAAACACCCTGGAACACAATTTTTACCTTCCTGGTAGACCTGATAAATATAAGAGAACAGTCACACTGAAAGGCACAAGCTTGAAAAATATTTGCTTGTCCCTTTCCTCTATTCTCTTAAATATTAAGTAGGTAACTGGCATGGAAGAGGCTAAAACAGTGCTGCCTTCTTTCTCTCCAGCCCTTACCATGTTTACCCTGTACAAAACCAGTTTCTGGCTGGTAGGAGTTTGATATCAACCTCCCACTTACTAATCTACAGTATACGGATTTTTACACTGTACCCATCTCCATGGTACCCAAAGAGCCTCTTCACACCGCTCTCCTCCCACATCTCCCCACTCTGTTCTTCTCCTCCCTAAGGAAAATGACACAAGCATTCCTCAGCAAAATTATCACCTTTCTCTCTCTACGTGTCTTTCCTTTCCCCTGCTCTCATTCATTGGAAAGTTGTGAACCCTATCTTATGCCTTAAAATGTCTTTATGTCTCAGAGTTTCTTTTTTTTTTTTTCTTTAATTTCACAGATAAACACTAGATTCATTGACTGATTTAGTGATTTGAGATCTTACCTAAACAGGGGCAGTCTGATTGAGAATCTTAACCATAGTCAGACGTGCAGTGATTTCTGCTAAAGAAGTCAAAGTATGGGAGAAGAAGTCAAAATAACAGGAGATCCTCACAAGCAGAAAAACAAAACAACAAAAAACAACAACAACAACAAAAAACATAGGAAAGAAAAGATTTGAACATTTTGTTTTTGTTGTAGTTTTTGTTTTTTCTCTTGAGGAAGTGAGAGGTATCAATTACATTAAGCCAAAGATTTAACCTTCAGTTGTTTCTTAAGCTCCCAGCTGGGAGCTAAGGCACTGAAACACTAAATTAAAGCTGGCACAGAAATAGAACAAATAACACAGCAGGAAGCAGGTCGTTATAGTCAAGGCACTTCCCTAGCATTAGCCAAATTAACTCTGATCCAGTCCATAGAGTACTGTTACATGACCACATGTGGCAGGAGCACAAACTCAGAACACAGTGTCAGTGCAAAGCTTCCTCAGAATTCAAAGAAAACTTCTAGCTGATGTCAGTTGACATCAATCAGGACACAATTGTTTCACATTTGTTTTCACTACAGGTTACTGTGCTTATATTATATATTTCAAAACATATACACACATATACATGTGAACATATGGAGCTCTTGGAGTGGGTCCAGAGGAGGGCCACTAAGATGATCAGAGGGCTGGAGCACCTCTCCTATGAGGAAAGGTTGAGGAAAATGGGCTTGTTTAGCTTGGAGAAGAGAAGGATCTGGGGAGACCTCATTGTGGCCTTCCAGTACTTGAAGGGAGTGTATAAACAGGAGGGGGAACGGCTGTTTATGAGGATAGATCGCGATAGGACAAGGGGAATGGTTTTAAACTGAGACAGAGGAGGTTTAGGTTAGATATAGGGAGGAAGGTTTTCACCCAGAGGGTGTTGAAGCACTGGAACAGGTTGCCCAAGGA